CCCTGGGTGGCATCTGCCTATTCATTGCTGTACCCCAAGTGTAGCACAGATTAAGTAGCACAGTTAGTCTATGGCAGGAGATTAGGAAATGTAAGGGGCCAGTAGACACATATGACTTCAGGCAAAGGTAGGGGACGTTCACAAAAGCCACTAGGCCCCAAATGAAATTTCAAACAGCCAAGGCAAAGCTGTTATCTTGAAGACTAAACCCTATTTCACCTTCTAGGTACCAGTAGGTATAACAAGTCCCTTCACAATGAAAATCAGCATGCAGCAAGTGGCTCTCTCTCTATAACAATAACTCACTCTGGAACACTGAACTTCTCCATTTGGCTCTTTTGTTAATAATACCAAAGTGAACTGTTAGGAAGTTCATGAGAGCTGAGTAACATTACCCGAAAGGCCTGAACCCAATTCTAATACAGTGGGGCCTTGACTTACGAGTGTCCTGACTAACGAGTTTTTCGAGATACGAGCCATCTCTCAGCCGATTTTTTGCTTTGAGTTGCGAGCTAAAATTCGGGTTATGAGCCAGCTTCAGATACCCCACCGCTAGTTGGCGCAGCGAACGTCACAGTGAACGCCACAACATCAGCCCAGCATCACGTGTCTCACTCGTTCACTTTTTGATTTGACATACGAGTAACTTGAGTTATGAGCTCCGTCACGGAACGAATTAAACTCGTAAGTCAAGGCCCCACTGTATTTGAAAAGTTTTTCAGTAACTTTCAAGCTCCTTAAAATGTCCTCCTATCCATATAGTTCTGACTTACAGCAAATCTTTTGAAACAAATATTTTTATTTAGGGGCACCAAGAATCATAGTCCTGCCCTGGCCGGTGTGGCTCATTTGGTTGGAGCATGATCCCATGCACTGAAGGGTCCCGGGTTTGATTCCCAGTTAGGGCGCATACACAGGTTGTGGGTTCGATCCCTGGTCGGGGCGCATGTGGGAGGCAACCGATCAATGTTTCTCTCCCTCCCTCTCCTTTCCTTTCTCTCTAAAATCAATGAAAACATATTTTAAAAGAGAAAAGAAAAAAGAATCATAGTCCTATAACCAGCATGATAGGGCCCTAACTTCCCTTCTCAATGTAGAGAAATTAGCTTTTTTTTACTTATATACAGAAGTTCTACAAAGTCTTGTGTGGTTTTAGCTGAATACAGGATGTGGGCACAGAATCTGCATCACTTAGGAGTTAGATAATGTTCAGGTGGGTCTTGGGTTTTGTCTACTGGTAGTACTAATATGTGTTTTTGTTGTTACTGTTTTCTTTTTACTCCTCAGCTTCTGAACCAGTTTTCCATTAGAGCAGCCAAGGAGATGCAAGATTGTCTGTGTAATTCATGCAAAAACGTTTTTAATTTGAAGATCTGGCTTCTAAATTCACAGGGGTCCCTCATCAGTCAGAGCTGGGTAGCAGTTCACGGGACGAGGTGAAGGGCAAGCATCACCAGGTGGGCCGCAGGGATCCACAAGTGTCCTGAAGCGCTGAGAACTTGGTTGTTAGGTAATCTCCCCAGGATCCACCAATTTTCCTAACCAATTTTGATGGAGCAAAACTACGCATTAAAGGAAACAAAACCTCACAAAGTTCCTATGAAGGGGGTGGGAAACAGGGATTCTTTTAAATATCTGCTCCCAAACATAAACCCCAATAAACTGAACTCAAACCTTGAATGGTTAAAACTGCAGTTTATTTTTCTAGCCCCTTCAAGAGTTTTCCTTACCATAAGATTATGTTCTCATTATTTCTATCAAGATGCTGTGTTTGGGGGATGCTGGCCCTTTAACAAGAGAGTAAGGGAGGGTTTGGGACTCTTAAAGCCAGGGGCAGCAAGCCAGCACTGGCCCAGGCTGCCATGGCTAAAGTGAGCAGAAAGGACAGCAGCAGTCAGGTGGTGGGTGTCAGCAGCAAGGCCGCTGTGGGGCCCCTCCGCACAGAGGGAGGCTGGTGGTGTTTGTGGGGGTGATTTTCCAACTCCTAGCCCTGTCCCTACCTTCCGGGCTTTTGCTGGACAGCTGCCTAGAGCTGGGTTGATGAGGTCAGAGGTTGGGGGTTTCAGGCAGCCTCACTCCTCAAGATCCTGGGCCAGTACTCCCTTGACAACCTTGCTGGGGGACAGTCAGGTTTTAGGGTGCCACGCCATCTTTACTGAGGAGGCTGGTACCTCTGGGTCTCTTCCCTGTCCCAGATTTGCCTTCCAGAGGCTGACAGTGCTCTCTCACCAGCCGTGGAGGAAGTCTGCCAGCCTGCAAAGATGACATGTCTTGAAGGTATCACTAAGGGAGCCATAGTATTTGGATAGAAAGCCTGGGGGTGCAGAGACTTACTCTTCTGGTTCGGTGGATGGACATGGGCTTGCTTGTCCAGAATCATTGGGAATGATTCCAAAGTCGTCTACTTGTTAGCTATATCATGCTGGGTGACTGAAATCACTTTTCCGGGACCCCCTTTCTCACTTCATAGTGAAATGATCAACAACAGGCTTGTATGATGGTTGTGAGAGATGAATGGACATATACATGGAAAGTCTCTGGCACACAGTAGGGTTAAATTTGCAGTGAGTCAGGACAGCTGGAAATTGGTTGCTTAAAGAGGCGTAGAAAGGGCTGTTAGGTGGAGGAGAGCAGGTGGAGAAGCCTGTGGTGATGCCTAATGAGGCAATTAAAGAGGGGATGCAGAAAGTCAGGTGTCTGGCACCTGCCAGGTTCCGTTTGCTCTAGTCCGGGACAGGTAGGGGTCCTCTGGGGTATGGAGGCTGAGCTGAACCTTAGAACAGGAGGCGTTGTTTGAAAGTAGTGCTGAAGACGGCTCATGGACAGAAGTGCTACTGAGAAGCACTCTCTAGACCTAACTCCTCACACCTGCCCTCTCCCTTTCCCTCCCCGCCGCTTACTTCCTCAGGCCCCCACTCAAACCAAGGCCCAGACAAGTCCTGTGGCCCCGTGGCTCCTGAGGAGGAGCTGGTGTCTGCCTCCCAATTGGAGGAGGAGGAAGAAAATGAGGAGGAAGAGGAGGATCTGGATCCAGATCTAGCCACGGACCTGGAGGAGGGAGTGGATGAAGAGGAGGAAGAGCTCGGGGATCCAGCTATCCTCAGTGCTGTCACTAACACCCAGGTACCACGGCAGGAGAGGCTGGAGGGACGGTTGCCCGAAGTGTTTGTGGCTCACAGACTGTGGTTAACATTTCTCTCTTCTTCTCCCCTTTCTAAGATAGGACCTGGGTTAATACTTTCTATTTCAGGCTTGAACCTGAGTAGGGACTCTCTTTTTCCTTCTCTTTCCTCCTGTCACCCACTTAGTTTCTGATGCTATCTTCATCTTAGAATCCAGATCCTAACCCTGGCCAGTGTGGATCAGTTGATAGGGCATCGTACTGTGCACGAAAGGTCAGGGTACATGCCTGGGTTTCGGGCTGGATCCCTTGTAAGGGGAGTGTAGGAGGCAGCTGATTGATGTTTCACTTCACATTGATGTTTCTGTCTCTCTCCCTCTCCCACCCTTTCCCTTCCTCTCTCTCTAAAAATTAATAATGGGGGGAAGGGGGAGTCCTATCAGGGCTAGGCACCATCCATAGGCGCTGGCCCTGCTCCTGGGCTGAAGACGGGTCATCTTTGACCCTGGGCTCCTGTGTCTCAGCAGTCCATTCCTGATATTTATTTACTCCCTTGGATTCTCACCACCAGTGGAGAGAGACAATGATTCCCATATAGAATGAAGGGACTCAGATCTTCCTTCAACCTACTCCTGAGATACCAGTGTTGCTTCCCTTAGGAAAGGACAGGGGTCCTGGCCCAGCTGACTTTGACTATGAGGGAGGGCCAGGCTGCCTTTGTCCTGGGTGTTGGAAATGGTGGCCACCCTCTATGGCAGTGGTTCTCAACCTTCTGGCCCTTTAAATACAGTTCCTCATGTTGTGACCCAACCATAAAATTATTTTCGTTGCTACTTCATAACTGTAATGTTGCTACTGTTATGAATCGTAATGTAAATATCTGATATGCAGGATGGTCTTAGGCGACCCCTGTGAAAGGGTCATTCGACCGCCAAAGGGGTCGCGACCCACAGGTTGAGAACCGCTGCTCTATGGACACCATAGATAAACTTAGAAGACACCACAGAGGTTCATTTGAGTCTGGCTTTCCTCCCCTCTCATTCCAGAGAGGTTTTCCAAGCTCTCCTGGAATCAAGGCCTCTGGTGTGCTGGGGATGTCACCTGCCTCCTTGCACTTTCTATGGCAGGTGAGTAGCTCCAGTCTTCACAGTGTGAGAAAGTGACTGGGTGCTGAGAAGGAGCAAGCCGAGTGTCCTTTATTTCCGTTGTTTAGTCTGCTCTTGACCTTGATTGGAGATGAAACATCCAAAGTGAGAAATAGGCATAGGAGGTGGGAGACACTGATCATGCAGGGAAGCTTGGTTAGTGACAGATGGAACTGGGACAACTGGCCATTTACAAGAAAAAGGACAAACTAGGTTCCTACTTCCACTTCCCTGCATTTCAGCACATAAGCAGCACTGAGCTTAGGACTAGAAAGAGCATTTGCCCTTCAATTAACGGCATAATGAGAACGTGGTCTGGGATGGAAGAAATGCAGGAAATACTGCAGGGAGAAGAGAAGGAAACTGCGATTCTGAGGTGAGTCAGAAAAGAGACAGCTAAGCATTGTCCCAGTGGCTGAAGGGACAAGACGGTCACAGAGAGGAGAGGAAGAGGTGTTGGCTGACCAGACAGGAGGAAAAGCACAGGCCCCCACATTGTCAGGGACTGGAGAGCTGCTCCCTAGGGGGTGAAACCCTGTTGGAAACAAAGACAGGATCCACAGTCTGGTGACCTCACAGTTGGCTTGAAGTTCCCCCACGACAGCAAAATGTCCAGGGAGGGTCTTGGGAGAAAAGGCAGGCGAGAATGCAGAGGCAGGAAAGGGACTTGGCAGCAAGAGCAGCATTCTGTTTCTGGAGATGCCTCTTTAATTCCTCTTAGACCCTGGACTACTTGTCGCCAGTTCCTTTCCGGCCTACACTTCCCCGTGCCAGCTCTCCAGTGCGGCACTTTGGACCTCGACTGCTCCCACCAGACCCATATGTCTTCTGCAGCCCACCAACCTCATGGTCTCCTAGGTTCAGGTACTGGTTCTGGGTGCCAGACACCCCAGCACCCACAACAGTCTGAGTTCTCCAGAGGTCCCTGGCTGAGGAGGAGTGGGGGACACTACCAGCAACCACAGAAATATGCTTATAGAAACTTAATAAGGAAAGTCTGCGGTAGAGTCCCTCAGAGATGAGGAAATGGAGGCTCAGGGAGACTAAAATAACTTACTTCAGGGTTAACTGACAGCAGAACAGAGATCAGGACTAGAACTCTAGACAACCAGGCAGAATGGTTTTCTACTGTGTTGAGATTTCCTACAGCCAAATTGCAGAAAAGTATATCTGGGAGGAGAATGTGAGCTAGGATTGTGATGTTTCATGTGACTTTGGGGAAGCACAGAAAGAGTTCCCTTAGATGTCCAGCTGAGGTTACCAGAGGCTAAATGAGTGGAGGGGGCAGGGAGCTGAGACCCTGCCTTCAGCCAGCCCAAGTTTCTTTCTAAGCCTTCCCAGTCATCTGACCCAGCTCCACCCTCAACACCAACGGATCTTGCAGCTGCAGAAGCACAGTCGAACACCAAGGTAAAACCTAGACCAGGACCGGGGTTGAAAGCAGCTCATCTTTGTGCTGGGTTTTTCCCCCCAAGTCCCTGCACAATTAAGAATCCTATAGTGCTGCCCACCTCTGCACCTTCTCCCATCCTTACCAGACAGCTCCACTCCCTTGGGAAGTTCACGGTGGCAGGGTGGGTGGGTCTGAAGGGATGCTCCTCCTGGCTTAAAGGCCCCCAGCCAAGAAGCCCTGGTCTCGGCAGTCAGACACCTATGCTAACCTCATGACCCGCAAAGAGAAGGACTGGGTGATAAAAGTGCAGATGGTTCAGCTGCAGAGTGAGAAGCCCTGCCTGGATGACTATTACTACCAGGTGAGCCCCGTGTGCTCTTCCCAGCCTTTAACCTTGGGGTTGAAAGGTCCTGGACTCCACGGGCCCTCTCAGGTTCTCTCTTCAGCTCATAGGGGCCATATTTCTAAAGTTGACATCCCAACCCCATTCACCTCTCTGTTCTCCTGCATTCAGCCCAATGGGGTTGTGTACAATTTCCCAAATACACTCTGCGATTTTGTCTCTATCCTTTGCCAATAATTTCCCCTATTCAGCCTGAGAATATAGACTTTTACACCTTTGTACACTTTTGTGAGTCTTTAGAAATGTCATTATAAACATTCATCTACTTAACTTTATTCTTTTTTTAAAATATATTTTATTGATTTTTTACAGAGAGGAAGGGAGAGAGATAGAGAGTTAGAAACATCAATGAGAGAGAAACATTGATCAGCTGCCTCCCGCACATCTCCTACTGGGGATGTGCCCGCAACCCAGGTACATGCCCTTGACCGGAATTGAACCTGGGACCTTTCAGTCCGCAGGCCGATGCTCTATCCACTGACTCAAACCGGTTTCGGCTTAACTTTATTATTTTAGATAAAAAATACAAGGATCTTAGAAATAGTAGGATTTGATTTGTTGAATTGAACAAATGATGGCAAACATTTTGACTCACCTCCTCCTGTTTCCTATCTACCCTCTATTACGGGACACATCTTTGTTTATGGGTTTTGGGGTTGTCAAAGCTTTGTCTCACTTTTCTCCTCAACCTCCATGAGCCCGCTACCGAAGTTCCCACTTTTATCTCCTTCCTATTTAGTTTCTTTTTTTTCTTTCTACCCTGGTTCAAAAATCCCCTCTTTCTGTCAAGATCACTGAAAGTGAAATTGTTTTATATTCTGGCCTTTTTTTTTTTAAATATATTTTATTGATTTTTTACAGAGAGGAAGGGAGAGGGGTAGAGAGTCAGAAACACCGATCAGCTGCCTCCTGCACACCCCCTACTGGGGATGTGCCCACAACCAAGATGCATGCCCTTGACCCGAATCGAACCTGGGACCCTTGAGTCCGCAGGCCGACGCTCTATCCACTGACCCAATACGGTCAGGGCTATTCTGGCCTTTTTTGTTCTGCTCCTAAATAGAGGAGCTTTATTCAAATCCTTGTTTGTCTCGGTCAGTGGCTTTATTTCAGCTTGGATTTTACATATTTCTTTAAGAGAATATCAGAGCTGCTGGGAAAATCCTCAGAAGTATAAACTGGCCAATTGACAACAGTGCTATCTCTGTACTTCAAGCTACTGGTGGTCTCCATGCCACCAGATAAGGTGACTTTGGAAAGCACAGGCAGAATCACAAAATCAAAACGGGGGGTGGAGGATATATGATGGGTAGTGTATAACTTGGGAACAAGGAATGCAGGAAGGTTGCAGATGCTGGGACAGGTTTGCTTCCTGGCTCTACACTTCTCTCTCTGCCTCTGCCTTTCTATCAGACCTGGAAGTGGTACCTGGCTCTTTTTTTTTTTTTTTTTTTTGAGAGAGAGAGAGAGAGAGAGAGAGAGAGAGAGAGAGAGAGAGAGAGACATAAGGGAGAGAGATAAAAACATTAATTGGCTGCCTCTTGCATGCCCCCTACTGGGGATTGAGCTTGCAACCTGGGCATGTGCCCTGACCTGGAATTGAACCCGTGACCTCTTGGTTCATGGGTCAACACTCAGCCACTGAGCCACCCAGCTGGCCAGTACCTTGCTCTTGAAGTCCTTGGTATGAGGATCCCATGAATGGTAGCATGAGACCTAGGGTGTTTAAGGTACTTTAGAATGATTGCAAATATGGCTTACGGTGCCAGGAACATTTCTGGAATAGATGCTATAGGAAAAGGTGCGTTAAGACGTTGCACTTGAGAACCTTAATTCTAAATTCAGAACACGAGTACTGTATCCATTTTTACATTCCATGGGCTCTCAGAAATATTATCAGAAACTAGAGAAGAAGGAGACAGATGAAGAGCTGCTTGGACAAAGGAGCAAGGTGGAGTCCCTCAAGCTGGTAACACCTTACATTCAGAAGGCAGAGGCTTACGAGTCAGGTAGGCCCAGGGCTGACCTGCTGGGTTGGGCTGACCATCTGGGTGGACAGAGGGTAGAAAGGAGAGGGAAATATGCCTGTCTTGACTCCTTTCCTGCAGTGGTTCGATTCGAGGGTTCCCTGGGCCAGGTGGCCATGTCAACGTGTTTTAGCCCTCGCAGAGCTATTGATGCTGTACCCCATGGAACTCCAGAACCGGTAGGAATGTCGTCTTCCCAGAACCCTTTTTTCTCCTCCCTGTTATGGAGAAGAGTCTCTTTTTTTTTTTTCGGTGAGGATTTTTGTCTTTATTCGATGATCTTAAACAAATGACTGTGAAACCTGGAGAAGAGTCTTAAGCATCATCATGCTTGAGTTCAGATTGTGACCTAAGAGAGGGAGAAGTGTGATCAGACTTTGTGTTAGTCTTTCCAGCTCAATGTTTAGCTCCCCTGAGGTCTGGGTTGCTGCTGTGGAGGTGTGGCTGATGGCTGGGGACTCTTTCTTCTAGGAGATAGGAGCTGCAAGCAGCCAGAGGCTTCGGGTGTTGTCCTGGATTGAGAAGGTGAGATGAGTTCCTAACTACTCCTTGAAAATGGGATATTGCTCAAATTGACCTCTTCTTCCTCTTTTCCCACCCTCAAATTCCCAGATGTTTCTTCAGTTACTAGAGATAGAGGAGGGCCAGAAGAATGGGCCTCCACAGTCCTGCTACTCTGAGCAGCAGAGAAACCAGGTTGAGAAGCTCTTCCAGGCCTTAAAGACCCAGGAGCAGGACAACCTGGAGTGAGCGTGGGAGGTCATCCCTCCGCCCAGGAAGGGGAGGATCAGCAAATTTGCTTTAGCTGCTCCTTTCTGGCATGTAGCCCTCTCCGTTACGTACAGCCCTGAAAATACTCTATCTCACTCGTAGGGAGGCAGCAGATGGCTTCCTGCAGGTGCTGTCAGTGAGGAAGGGGAAAGCCCTAGTGGCCCGGCTGCTCCCCTTCCTGCCCCGGGATCTAGCTGTCAGCCTTCTTCTGGCGATCATCCACCATCTGCCACTCCTGGTCAAGAGGGATGCAGCTGATCAGGTACTGTGGCACCAAGTGGAGAAGAGGATGATTTCACGGATGAGATAGGGATCTTTTCTCCTCTTCCAGTTCCCACCCCCAGAGATGCCAGAGAAGGCTGGGCAGTGAGGGGTGTCGACCCTGCCACCTCAGGTGAGGGAGTTACAGAATAAACTATAGGAACAGCTGATCATCTTTAGGTGTAATGAACACAAGAAAATATACAGGTGTGAGTGTGCTGTGGAGGGTGAGAAAATAAGGACTCCCTGACAAGTATTGAGCCCTGTATCTACTTAGGGAAGGCATCCTAGAACAAGTAGGTATTGAAGGACCAGTGTTGGTGATGGAGGGGCATTAGTGGTGATAGGTCTGGTAAATAACCTGACCAGGTAGGTGATCAAGGCAGGTCAGCAAGAAAAGGGATGGAAGGCAAGGTGGGAGGAGGTGAAGTTGTAATAAAGTCTGAGAGAGGCACTCACTGACCTTCCTGTAGGTCCTACAAATGTTATTCAAGCCTCTGGGCAAATATATCAGACACTTGACCTTCCAAGAACTCCTCCAAGGACTTCAGGGACTAATGCTGCTTCCACCTGGCTCCTCAGAGCGGCCAGTCACTGTGGTGCTTCAGAATCAGGTAATATATCTGGGAGGCTTTTTTTTTCTTTTTCTGGGAGGCTTTTGTCTTTCCATAGATCAGTGGTTCTCAACCTTCCTAATGCCACGACCCTTTAATACAGTTCCTCATGTTGTGGTGACCCCCAATTTCATTGTTACAAATTGAACATAATTAAAGCATAGTGACTAATCACAAAAACAATATGTAATTATATATGTGTTTTCTGATGGTCTTAGGCTACCCCTGTGAAAGGGTCATTCAACCCCCAAAGGGGCCGCGACCCACAGGTTGAGAACTGCTGCCATAGATGGTCTCCAGGCTGTTATCACTGGCAAGGAATAAATGAGGGAATGTTTTCATCTCTGCAGTCTCCTCCTCTCCCCCGTTTATCCTTTCCAGTGCTTATCAACTTCTAGTGAGCATTAGGATCACCTTGGGCCCACTGCCTGAGTCATTGAGTAGACCGGGGTGGGGCCCACACATCTGCTCTCCTAAAAAGCTCTCTGGTGATGGTGCTGCTGTAGACCTCTAGAGCAGAAGTCACTAAAGTTTTAATAGAAATAAATTCTGACCCATATCACCTAAGTGTGTATTTATAAGCAGTTTATATGTAACACTATACTAATATTAGGCACGTAATAAATACACAAGTAGAACATTTTAAAAGATGAGACTAGATATGAAGTTCTGATATCTTCTAATATGCCAGTGGATTGTCTTATGAACCTCTCTCTGAAGCTCTTTCCTAAAACAGTGCTTCTTAAAGTGTGGTCAGCAGACAACCTGCATCAGATTCCCAGGTCCATTCCTAATTTACAGACTCTGGGGGCAGAACTCATGAGTGTGCATCTAGTACACTCCCCAGAAGAATCTTCAGGGCAGTTCAGAGCAGTGAAAGGTCTGAGAGTTCTTCGGCCAGCCAGTGTAAACTCTGACCAGTTGTACGGGTGTTGGACTCCATTTGTGCACGTAAACTTGTCCTTTTAGTTGGGAAGACAGAGCCAGGTAAGCACCGGATGCCTTGGATGAACTCATTTCCCCTGGGTACTTTATCACTTGCAGTTTGGAATATCTTTGCTCTACACCCTGCTGAGTCATGGGGCACAGCTGGTATCCCTGGATCCATCCCTGGAGGAACCCAGCAGTGACCATACAGCTTGGTAAGATCATAATGACCTGTACGTATTATTTCAGTACATCTGGGATGTATAGGCTGGGCCAGATGAGATATTTCCTGAGTAGTGTATTCAAACATCAGGCAAGAAGTTGGTCAAAGGGAAAATTCCCAGAGTTGTAGCTGCTCTGCCTTTTCCCCTCCTTATAGTCCCCTAGAGTTTATTTTCCATGGGAGGCAGTGTAACATAGTAATTAAGGGGACAAGCTTTAGCATCAAACAGATCTACGTTTGAATTTTGCCTCCATCACTTATTAGCACTCTAAGTTTTGGGAATGTTACTTAACCTTTTCTTAGCCTGTTTCCTCATTTACAAACTAGGGATCTAGGGATGACAGTACTAGCCCCTTAGAGTTCTTAAGATTTAAGAAAAATGATGTGTAAAGCATTAAGCTGTGCCCCGGCATATGTCAAATGTGCAAATGTTCTCCCTTATTTGCTACATGCATAGAGGGTGATGGTGGTGTTAAACGGTAATAAGGATCTTGGCTTTGGGTCTGTTTCCTGCATAAATACAAATACTTTGATGTATTTCCTCCTCTCTGGTCTCCAGGACAGACATAGTGATTTTGATCGCCTGGGAAATAGCTCAGATGCCTACAGCCTCTTTGGCTGAACCCCTAGCCTTTCCCACCAACCTCCTTCCCCTGTTCTGTCGCCACGTGGACAAACAACTGATACAGCAGCTAGAGGCTACAATGCAGTAAGTTATGGCAGAAACAAGGTCAATGCCCCTTGTTCAAGCCCAATCTAGGGTCTATCATTTACTTCTCTATTTCTTTTAAACCAAGAGCATGGACAATAGCTTGCTTTTATTATTTTTTTAATATATTTTTATTGATTTCAAAGAGCAAGGGAGAGGGAGATAGAAACATCAATGATGAGAGAGAATCATTGATCAGCTGCCTCCTGCACATCCCACACTGGGGATCGAGCCCATAACCAGGGCATGTGCCCTGACAAGAAATGGAGCCGTAGCCTCCTGGTTCATAGGTTGACTGTCAACCACTGAGCCACGCCTGTTGGGCGAGAATAGCTTGTTTTCAGAAGTAGTTCCAGACACTGGCAATTACTGAGTAAAGAGTCTACCTCAAGTTAGGACCCTATGGTATCTTCAAATAAACCGTTGAATTGATTCCCAGGTGCTTTGGTCACTTATGCTATTTGAGGGCAAGACTTAATTTGAGAAATTGAATCGTTAATTCAAGAAATATTTGAGGGACAACTATTCAAAAACATAAACACGAACAACACGGAGGCCATCTCTTTCCTCAGAATTTACCATCTGCTGGAGTCAGATGTTAATTAAATCACCTAATACTTTAGAAAATGTAATTGTTTGCAGTTAACATCTGTTCCCTTTGTAGGCTTGCCTGGATCTACTGATCTCATTGTTCTGGAATACGGACATGTGGGGAAAGTTTAATCATCAGACACTAGCTGTGCGAGCTATGTCTACAGGGATCCAAGAGTCTGAAGACATTTCTTATGCCTTGATACATTGGAGGACCCTACCCAAAACATTTTCTTAGCTGTCTTCAAAAACCTGAGTGATGTGCCTAAAAAGGCATGGCATAATAAGGTATAATTAAAGAGATAATGATGTGTTGAAACTTGTTTGTAAGAGAAAGTACCCCTAGATGAGCTATGATGGTTGAATATACATATACACATCTCTTTGGGGATCTGAAATGTTTGGTTTAACTTGACAAACAAGGTTATCAGCAAAGACTGGAGTGCCTTTATGAACCAGGCACCGTTTTAGGCGTCAGGGTTCCAGTGGTAAGCAAGAAAAAGTCCCTGCTCTTCTGAAACTTGCATTCTGTTTGGACAGGGACTAACCCAAAACATCAGGTGGTGATACAAACCACGGTGAAAACAAAACTGGGTGATGAGTGACTGGAGTGGAAGCTCTGTCAATAGAGGTTATATTTAAGTTGGAATGAAAAGTAGTTCATGTAAAGGCACTACTGAGCACAAAGCCCCCAAAGTGAGAGTGAATTTGGTGTGTTTCAGGAAAAGACTGAAGTACACAGATAAGTGGGGAGGGTGATGAGGCTGGAAAGAGGGAGGCAGGGTGTAAGATCTGTAAGCCATGATTTTTAAAAATTTGGATTTTTAACTGCGATGAAGTCAGAATTTTAAACAGTAAGGTCCCTTTTAGAAGACCACTTTAAAAATGTTACCAAACATTGTTAGTGGTGTTACCAAAGTTGAAAAGAAAGTACGTTAAGAAGGGAGTGAGGAATGATAGGTTGGTTGTGGCAGTCTAGAGATCATTCATTTTGACAGAGAGTTTTGGTGGAGATGGCAGCCTGATCAGAGGGTTGAGGTGAGGAGAGGGAGTTTTTCTGACCATAAGAAGAGTCAACTTGGAATTTTCTAAAAGGGAAGCAGAAATTTGACAGTAGGTAGCCGTTGGTGTAGGATAAAGGAAGTCATTTTCTTTTTTAAAGAATGACATATGTTTTAGAACAGAAAGAGTTTGTCCACCCAGCACTAGCAAAGCCAAATACTAAACACTGAGAATTGCAGTAGAGAAATATTGGCTACTTATTTTATTTTATTTTTTTAAAATATATTTTATTTATTTTAGAGAGGAAGGGAGAGAGATAGAAACATCAATGATGAGAGAGAATCACTAATTGGCTGCCTCCTGCACGCCCCCTACAGGGGCTCGAGCCCGCAACCCAGGCATGTGCCCTTGGCTGGAATCGAACCTGGGACCCCCTCAGTCCACAGGCTGACACTCTATCCATTGAGCCAAACCAGCTAGGGCATATTGGCTATTTATTGACGAATGGCCTTATCAAGGAGAATAGGAAGCTAATGCTCAAAAGCTGGAAATCCTTGATGGCCTATAGGTTACAGATCATATAGGGCAACTGATTGGCTGGAGGTGAGAGAAGGGTAATGAATCATTTCTTCAGGTCTTGAGGACAGCTCTGAAGTCTTTTCAGACTCCCTCTGGTCTCATGGAAAGTAGCCAGGGGGTTGCTCCACCATAGGACTCAAAAACTGAAACATAATTTAGGTCAAGATGTTATCTTTCGTTTGCCAGAGGTCTGGTCGGTGTGACTATTGGTCAGGTCGGGGCTACTAACTTCTGATTCAGAGGTTGCTGATTATTCAGGGAGAAAGGCTGGGTCTACGGGGTGTATATATAGATAGAGAGAAGGAGAGAGATTATTTCTAGAGCCAAGACTTAACACTAAATTTAACCAAAGTCACAAGGAACCACCAGTTTCACATATTAGAGCACGCCTGCATGATAATGAAGTCACCCCAATAAAGAGGGAGAAAGCAATGCAGGAGAAAAAGAATTTTGTACACACCGAGCCCTAGAACAGTGATGGCGAACCTTTTGAGCTCGGCGTGTCAGCATTTTGAAAAACCCTAACTTAACTCTGGTGCTGTGTCACATATACAAATTTTTTGATATTTGCAACCATAGTAAAACAAAAATTTATATTTTTGATATTTATTTTATATATTTAAATGCCATTTAACAAAGAAAAATCAACCAAAAAAAATGAGTTCACATGTCATAGGTTCGCCATCACTGCCCTAGAACTAGAGCAGTGGTTCTCAACCTTGGCTGCACATTAGAATCACCTGGAAATCTTTTTAAAAATCCTGATTTCTGGGCCTCATCCTTCGGAAATTGTTTCTTTGTTACTAATGTGTGGCCCCAGCCCATAACAAAGAAACAGAATTTCTGGAAGATGAGGCCCAGAAATCAGGATTTTAAAAATATTCCCAGTGATGCTAATGTGCAGCCAAGGTTGAGAACCACTGAACTAGAGGGTTCGAGTCGAAGCAAAAGGAGGCGCTAAGCTTTGGGAGCCTGTGGGCCCACCTGACCGCGGGTGAGAAAGGCACTGCTATTAGGGCCCTTTTCCCAAATGCCTCTCCACACCGCTCCTCGCCCCTCTGCTCCTCTCTGCCCACGACCTTGGATCACACTTCCCCGCGGAGAGCAAAGGGCAACGCCACCGCCCCTTACCCCGCGCCCCCGCGCATTTCAACGTTCGGGTCAACTCAGGACGGGCCGGTCCACACTGCTAAGGATTGCTTGCACCACCCCAGGGCTGTAAACAAATAAAAATAAAAGCCATGAGAAGGGGCGGGGACTTCCAATCCCTAGGTGGCGCCTAGATTAAGGCGGCAAAGGGTAACGCCACAGCGAGCCTTCTGTTGCAGCCTGCCGGCCCGAGGCCAGCGCAGGTGCAGATCCGCGGGCGCCGCAGGTGCGGACTCCCGCACGCAAGGGAGTGGCGTCTGGCAGAGGCCGCTGGCCCGGGGCGGCGGGAGTCACGAGGCAGCCGGGTCGGCTCCACTGCGCATGCCCAGGACGTGGGGGGCGGGGGAAACACACACATACACAAATAACTGCCGGACCCAAGATGGCGGCGAAGTGATCCGGAAGTGCTGCCGCCGGCGGCTTCTGCAGCGCTGCCACCATGGAGCGGGTTGTGCCGATGTTGTTGGTGCCTGTCCCCGCAGAGGCCACGGGGCGTCTGGGAAGCCGGGCGCAGCTGCACCGAGAGCAGGAGGTTCTGGGGAGCCTGACCGCCGCAGGCAGCCTTCAAGTGCTTTCCTTGGCCGCGGGCGGCCGGGGCGGGAGTGGCTGCTCCCTGGACGGCCCCTTCCGGCAGTAAGTGCTGCGGGAGGGCTGGGCAGCTGGGGCGGAGGAGCGGGGGATTCGGAGCCCTAGCCTGGCTGGCCCTAATACCCTTCTGGCAGGGCGGGAGCGGGATGCCGGCCGGGACAGTGCCGCCGGCGCGCCCGACCCCCTCGCGGAACCTTTCTCGCTCGGCCGCGGGTCTGCCCCGTCGCCTCCCAGTTCCGGGTGGGCGGGGCGGGGCGGCGCCGCTTCTTCGCCCGCTGCGCCGCCTCTTGTCACTCGGCGAAGCTCGGCTAATCGTCATCGTGCCGTGCACCTTGCGCATTTTCTCCTTCCAGTGAAGTCCGCTGACGATAGCAGCTGGGGTGATGTTAGATTGGGATCATCTGGATTGGGACCCTTTTCTTGCCCCTGAGACAGAGCGAGTTCCGTCACCGACGGGCTCCCCCGCCTTCTTCCGGGACAGAGAGCCTAGTCACGCAGTGGTTCTCAACCTGTGGGTCGAGACACCTTTGGCGGTCGAACGACCCTTTCACGGGGGTCGCCTAAGACCATCCTGCATATCAGATATTTACATTACGATTCATAACAGTAGCAACATTACAGTTATGAAATAGCAATGAAAATAATTTTATGGTTGGGTCACAACATGAGGAACTGTATTTAAAGGGCCAGAAGGTTGAGATCTATTTGTATTAATAGATCTTAAGACTCCAGAATAGTTCTGTACAAAAGAACTCTTTTGCACAGAACTGGTAGTGTGTCCCGCTCGCTTATTCGCGCAGCGCGCATTCCTGTTCGCTGTCACCTCGGGGCCAGGCCTCACTAGTTGAGGAAGACAGTTCTTCCCTGTGAGGCTGGCACGGTTCAGGAATGCAGGGGAAGACCAGCGTTACAGTCGTGTACTATGACTTTCCATTTTGTGACCCTCGGTCCAGAACTTGGTTTTTTACCTCATTCAGTTTGGTAGTGCCCTCGGAGTCTTCGGGCTCTTTTTATCATAGAAATCGTTTTGGAAAGGAGCAGCTCTGTAAGGCCTTGAGGAGTCAGGAGGTGCCTTCCCTGGGGAGCTCCAGGCTGCACGACAGTGTCTCACATAGGAGAGGCGCTAAGTCCGCCAATGCTTTCCTCTGTCCTGCGTGGGCCTTCTTTCTTCCTGACCTCTGGCTGCTAGGAAAGTCTCCCCAGGGGAAGTAAGTTTATTCAGCAATATTAAGTCCCCTGTGAACAGAACTTTGTAAATCCAGGGATGAGGCAGTGAAAAGCAGAACGCTTTAGGTGTTGGAGAACTTAAGAGAAGATAAGAGACGCACACCTGAATTAATGGGGCATGAAATTAGTAGAGGGGGTAAGTCAAGAGAAGCTTTCTTATTTGCATTTAATTGAATTAAAATACTTCACAGGGTAAAAATAAGGGCAAATTTTTAGTATTCAGGGTTTTATCCTACTTTTCTCAAAGTATACATCGTTCTTTTATATTGTTGCAATCACTGTACATTCTATATTTTCATTGAAAATTTTGCCTTCCCACATGCTAATGTAGTCCATGTGCTAATGATGTTAATGGTGTCACAGTGTGCTTAATTTGTGGAACGTTTTCCATATTCAACATTTATATTGGGGAGGCAGAATGAGAGAGATGACATCTTTTTAACTGGCTGCCTTCCCGTGGCATGGCAGTCTTAGGCACTAAGTGTGTGTTCCCTGACATTTGTATGTTGAAACCTTAACTACCCATGTGACTGTTTTTGAAGATTGAGGAGCCTTTAAGGAGGTAATTAAGGTTAAATGAAGTCATAAGAGTGGGGTTCTAATTCTATAGCATCGGCATCCTGATAGTAAGAAGAAGGGACACCAGAGATCTCTCTCTCCAAGCACATGGAGTAATAGCCATGTGAGGACACAGCAAGAAAGTGGCCGTTAGTAAGCCAGGAAGAGCTGCCTC